AGCATTAATTGTCTGACATGCGGGGGATGGTTTCATGCTCGCACCGCATGCATGAAATCACCTGTCACATGTCAACAAACGGAAATCGATATATGCAACATGTGCTTAAGCTGTTCGCTTCCTTTTCACTCAATTGATGATTTAGAATTCCATTTTATTTTTGGCGATTTCAGTCGAGTTCCAAGTGATGAGTTTATGGATAGATTAACGCAACTCAAGTTTAATCCTTTTCACATTAATAATAATAACATTGCAAACGCTCAACACTTTGAGAATTATATGCCGGAAAATCTTGATGATTTGACATGCAATTATTACCTACCAAACGACTTTGCTATGAGTAATATTACTGATAACAAAAATCTGTCGATACTAAACCTTAATGTAAGAAGTATAGCTAATAAGTTTGACTCGTTTAGGAATCTTCTAAGTACTTTGAAACAACCTTTTTCTATAATTAGCCTAACTGAAACTTGGCTAAATGACCAAAACAGTGAAAATTTCCATCTTACTAATTTTGATTTTGTTTGCTCAAACAGAGCTAATAAAAAAGGCGGTGGAGTAGGAATTTTTATCTCAAATAATTTAAACTACAAACTACGAACTGACCTAAATATAAACGAAGACGAAATAGTTGAATCACTTTTCATTGAAATTATTTCAACAACTGGTAAAAATATAATTGTTGGTACTATCTACAGACCGCCAAGTGGTAATTTTGAAATGTTTGAAAATAAACTAAATGCAATACTAACCGAAGTTGACAAAACAGGGAAAATAACATATTTGACAGGGGATTTTAACATTGATCTTTTGAAATCTGATGATTGCGATTATTCCAATAGATTTTGTGAGCAACTTTTTACTTCATCTTTTTATCCGCTGATAAATAGACCAACTAGAATTACGCAGCATACAGCCACGTTAATTGATAATATCTTTACAAACAATCTTGAACAAATAGAATCTGGTGTAAATGGACTAATTTTCTCAGATATTTCAGATCATCTCCCCATATTTCATATAGCTTCTTCATCCACAAATAAAAATAATACAAAAAGAGGAAGTGCACATTATAGAAGAATGGTCGACAAAGATAATCTTGCTTCGTTTTTATTATCTGTGAAAAATACATCGTGGGAAAGTACTTTCGAAACCAATGACCCTTGTGAATCCTATACGAATTTTCACAATAATTTGAAGGTAGCAATTGATAAATGTTTTCCTTTAGCAAAAATAAAAAAGAAAACTGTGGATCACACAAAAAGTCCCTGGATGACAATTGGTATATTTAAATCTATATCCAAGAAAAATAAACTCTATAAAAATTTTCTAAAAAAGCCATCTTATAGAAATGAGACAGCCTATAAAAAATACAAAAACAAACTGAATCACGTAATAAAAACCGCAAAAAAGGCCTATTATAAAACGCAATTTCTTAAGTATAAAAATGATATTAAAAAGACATGGCAAACTATTAACGAAGTTCTTAACAGAAATAAAACTAGATCAAAACTACCCGATACTTTTTTACAGAAGAATTCAAATAATAATGTTTCAAATCCTCTGAAAATTGCTAACAAATTTAACGAATATTTTGTGAAAATTGGTCCACAACTAGCCAAAAAAATTCCCAAAAATGATAACATAACGTATGAAAGCTACCTTAATGGTAACTATGTTGAAAGTATGTTTATAGAACCTGTGACTGAATATGAGCTGCAAGTTGAGATTAATAACTTAAGTGAAACTAAAAGTGCAGGACATGATGACATAAGCGCGAAAATGATAAAGATCATCAGTGAAGAAATAATTAAACCTCTAACATATATTTATAATCTATCATTTGAAACTGGAAAATACCAAATTTTTTGAAAATAGCTTTAGTTACTCCTATTTTCAAAGCTAAGGAAAATAATCTATTTGAAAACTATCGACCTATATCGGTATTAACTTGTTTTTCAAAACTACTTGAAAAACTTATGCACAAGCGATTAATTAACTATGTTGAAAAACATCGTATACTTTCAGAACATCAATTTGGTTTTAGAAAAAATAGATCAACTGAGCATGCCATTCTCGAACTAACCGATAAGATATCCAAAGCAATAGATGAAGGTAAATATACTGTAGGTATTTTCCTTGATCTCTCTAAAGCCTTCGACACTGTCAATCACGAAATTCTCATAAAAAACTTCAACACTATGGAATTAGAGGAATAGGTCTACAATGGTTTATAAATTATTTACAGGAAAGAACTCAAATGGTCAAATATAAACAACATAGGTCAACTGAAATGAGTGTTAGGACTGGCGTCCCACAGGGTTCAATTCTTGGACCACTACTATTTCTAATATACATTAATTCAGGAAATCATAGTAAAAATAAATAATGATATAGTTGAACAAGTACCTTGGGTAAAATTCCTAGGTGTATTAATTGATCAAGAGTTGACATGGAAGAATCACATCAACTCCGTTCTGAAAAACATAATTAAATCTGCGGGTCTGATTGCTAAACTAAGACATTTTACGAACAAAAACACTTCGAAATTGATTTATTATGCATTGGTCTATCCATACCTCACGTACGGAAATCTAGTTTGGGGAAGTACATACCCAACAAGGTTACAAAAGTTACTAAATGTGCAAAAAAAAATTGTACGACTAATCTGTTTTAAATCTTATATGGATCATTCTGAACCAATATTTTTACAATTGAAAATCTTGGATATCTACAAAATTAATGATTATCTATGCAGCTTATTCATGTATCGCTTCAATTATTGTCAAAATTTGCCGGACTTTTATAATGATTACTTCAAACAAAATAACGAACTATACAACTATAATACTCGAAATTCTACCAAGTTACATGTGAGCTATAAGAGAACAAACTATCGCAAATACACTGTATTTAACAAAGGAGTTTTTATATGGAATTGCCTTGATGAAGAAATTAAAAATATTAAATCATATTTTTCTTTTAAGAAAACTGCAAAATCCTATTACTTGATGTCTAGTTGATGTAAATATTTCAGGAATATTAATGACAGTATTCTGTAATGTACTAAATATTCCTTAAACATTTTCATATTTGTTTGTAAATAGTTTGTGTTTTTCATTGCAAATTGTCCTTATGTACATAATCTATTTTTATATTACTGAACACTAAAACTATAGGGGCCTCGTCTTAAAAGTCCAACAGGATTTCCAGAGGTCTCTAGCCCGTTTATATATTCTTAAATATTCAACTTGTAAATATTATTTGTGGGTAAATAAAACTAAAATAAAACTAATCTGAATCATTTCGAATGTTTTGGCTATTCCAAGGTGACCAACTTGCTGGTGGGCATCTTTCAAAATTGCAGGTGAAGCCAACTTAGGTAGAACGATCTGTAACGTTTCTTTACCATCTTTATCGATCCATTTTCGACAAAGAACATTCTTTTCAACGACTAAAGATTCAAAGACATTGTACAGCGCTTTCAACATCGGGCTGCTATCTTTTGGTTTATCATCTGGTCTTAAACCATTCAATACCCATCTCCTTACCAACAGAATATCATCATCCAGGTTTTGAGTTTCTTCAAGTTCCGTCCACGACAATGTGGAAATTCGAATGCTGTTAACTGGGGCACGGGAAAGTGCATCAGCATGTTGCATCATATTACAAGGCTTATGTTCTATAGTGTAGTCGTACTCTTCCAGTTTCAAAATCCAGCGTGCCAGTTTACCATTTGGATGTTTAACGTTTTTCAACCACTTTAGAGCCTTGTGATCTGTATATATGACCACCTTTCGTCCATACACATAAGGATGGAAATATTGGAGAGCCCAAACAACGGCGTATGTTTCTTTCTCTGTGGTAGTCCAGTTCTTCTCTGAACCTGAGAACGCTTTCGATGCATAAGATATAACTCTCTCCTCTCCCTCTCCATCTTCTTGTACCAAAACAGCTCCTACTCCTACATCACTTGCATCGGTGTATAGAATATAATCACCATTTGGTTCTGGGAATGCCAGAACAGGACTCGACATAAGTTGCTCTTTGATACTTTGGAATGCATTTCACAGTTCTCATCCCATACAAATGGCATGTCTTTCTGAGTGAGACGATTTAGTGGACTAGCAATGTCACTAAACCCATAGATAAACCTGCGGTGATACGAAGCCATACCAAGAAAGCTCCTTAATTAACTCTGTCAGGTCTTTCGGAGTTGGATATCTGCTGATAGCTTCCACTTTCTTGGAATCTGGAGCAAAACCTGAATCTGAAATAGTAAAACCAAGGAAGTCTACACTTGATTGTGCAAAATGACATTTTGAAGGTTTCAGTTTCAGTCCTGCTTTGCTGATTGCTTCTAGAACTGCTATCCAGATTCTCTAAATGCTGCTCAAAAGACCGACCAATGACCAGAACATCATCTAGGTATACAAGACACCTAAGAGGCAAGAGACCTTCCAGAACGACTGACATAAGCCTTTGAAACGTAGGAACCGCATTTGTCAACCCAAATGGCATGCGTAGAAACTCAAAATGTCCTCCTCCAGGGATAACAAAGGCTGGTTTCTCTTGACTGGACTCTTCCATTGGAACCTGCCAATAACCAGACGTCAGATCTAGCGTTGAGAAATATCTATGTCCTGATAACGAGTCAACCAAATCAGCAACTTGGGGGTAAAGAGTCTTTGTTTGTGTGTAATCCAGAACCAAAATTTGGCCATTTCTTGATAAGCTTTTTCCCAATTGAATGCAGCTTTTCATACTTAAAAGCGGCCATTGACTCTCGCGCCCTTCGCCGCTTGTTGCTATTAGTAGGCTATCACTAATAGCCTACTAGTAGCGTAGCCAATCAGAACGCACGATACATGATAGCCTACTAGTAGGTTTATACTAATGCGTGATAGACTTCATGTTGTGTTACTAGTAAATCCTCTGGAACGCTAGGTGTGGTGGACCGCTAGGCCTGAGTGGTTCGAAGTCGTTTGTAAGGTCAACGAAGATGTCATTTATACTGTTTGCAAAGGATTTGACGTCCATATACTCTTCGAGGAATTGATGATGCCACTGCTGTTTTATATCCTGACCAGAAAGTCATTTTGTTTCTCTCCACCATTTGCTGGAACTTGTGTTTTCCAGCTTAGAGACACGATTTTTATAATAGTGATGCTTGGCCATTTTTATTTCACATTGTACTTTATTTCTCCAAAACTTAAAACTTATCGAATCTTTCCCGTGGCGAATAAACGCAATTTGTCTTTTATAAATACAATTTTTAATTTTCTTTGTCATCCATGGTCGGTCAGTGAGGTGTTTCTTAATAGTCTGGAGTGGGAGACAAGTATCAATGGCAGAGTTAAGTTCACACATGGAAGCATCATTTATTTTCACAGGAGTGAGCGTTTAATACAAAGCTGCAGTCCTTCCCTACGATTCACCTTCCAAATGTACGCCAAGCACTGTTTCGAGTGTCACGTATTTTTATCTTCTTAATTACCGGTTTGGTCTCAGATTTAGGTTTCGGCTTTGCTAATATCGTATAATGGTCAGAGGTTCCAATTTTGGGTAACCGAGTTAAGTCAAACATCTTGGGCTTATTCACAAACATCCAATCTAGGATTCTGGAATCCCTCGTTTTAAATTTCACGAGTTGTTTCAAGTGATTTGGTTGCGCTTTTTTTTACTGTAGATCGGTGGAATTGGGATCGAAATCACCAGTTATCATATGGGCATTGGGTTGTTCAGATGAAATAGCATCCAAACTTTTCTGAACGTGACGTTTTAGGATAATATTTTCATTCCTCTGGCTATTTGGTGGGTGGTATATAACCCTCAATATGATTGATGTGATCTGTCTCGGTAGTCTATACGGTCTCGTTGACAGCCAAATTAATTCAACGTCATCTTCAACGCAGGAAGTTAATAATTTGCATGCTATCTTGTCATCTAAATAGACACATACACCACCACCAGTGGTACGAGCACGGTCTTGCCGAAAAAGATTATAACCTGGGATAGATACATTGGAGTCTGGGATGTTTGCAGACAGCCAGGTCTCAGTTATGCAAATTATGCCAACAGAGTTAATTTCCGCAATTTGCTGGACCTCGTCTATTTTAGTTGCTATTGCTCTCCGTATGCTGATAGAATAGCTGCATGGGATATAGGAATTAGGATTTTGATTATTGAATATGTTTATTAATATGTTTAGTCATAGTCATGGTGTTAGCAGTAATCTTCCTCGAGAAATGATCTACGTTAGAATTTGGTGTAATTACAGAGGTTGAGGAATAATTGATAGGGCTGTTAATCGTAGCAATAGGAATACAATTGAAAGGATTATGAAAGGATTGAAAGGTTGAACCATTCCAAGTCTTTGCACTTGGGACATATACAAAAATCGAATTTGTTACTTTGTTTAGATGTACCTTTTCTAGATTTACAAATTCGTTCGTGTTGCTGTAAGAAATTGTTATTTCTTGTCCAATAATTATTCCGATTTTTAAACCCATGACTTTTCATCGGTTTTCTTGCTGTTCTTGTAACATGAGTTGGGATGGGTTGATAATTTCGCATATCGCTGTTTTTGGCGCTCTTTATTGTGCGTGGGTAGACTTATTAAACATTCGTTACTAGTATGAACATTGTTGTTTGGTGAGGTATTATCCTGTGAGTTCGTATATCGATCAATGGTACCCGGAGTAGGAGGCTCACTTGCTAACTCTGTTATTGTGCTTGTGTTATGTCTACTATTATTTTCTATCACTGGGGCTACGTGCATAGTTGTACTATTATTAACGGCGATGCATTCGTTGTCTTCGTAGTTAAGGTTATTTAATAGAGTATCCCCCTTTGTGTTTGATATACAGGGTGAGTAAAAAAACTCATACCTTTGATATTCAAATTTGCCGCATAGGTGTCAGTTTTTTTTTACTCACCCTGTATTAGAATAATTATTCAAATTTTCGCTGTTTGCCAAATGTCCAAGATCAACAACAGACATATTTGTTTCCACATGAGATTTGTGTGAGTTTAAAGTCACACCCTCATTTTGATTGCTTTTATCCGCATTGTTAGTTGCAGGGGCGGCGGGAAGTCGATAAGGGGGCTGATATTCATATATTCGTGTTCACAGACTGTAAAACAATCTGTTCCAAAGGAAATAAATGATGCAGAACATGAATATATGAAAGTCAGCCCCTCCCCAATTATTCACTTTCCTCCCCCCCTGGATTGAGCAGTTTATTGTTATCAGCCATGAGATTTTGAATTTGTTTCTCAATCTCATCAACACGAACAAAATGAGAAACTACTTTCTCCTGTTCTTTATGCAGTGAAGCTGTAAGAATTGTAACTTTCTTTTTTTTAACAACTTTATGTCTTTATTGGTTAATATTTATAAATAAGTACAAATACAAATTTGAAAGTAACCAATCGGCAAAGGCGCGAACGGGACTGAAATACCCATGCGAGGCGCCTTCCCGTTAAAATATAACGTTAAAATAACATAGGTCAACATAAGACTAAATGGTAAAATATACTGTATGTAAAGCCAATTCTCAATGGCGAGAACAGTCACGAGACAGTGTCCATGTGCACGGGAAGTCTATGTCAAAGGATGCATTGAATAAAGTCAGGTATGTGTGCTTGAGTAATTGTTTAAATGATGAGATGTTGGAAAAGCCATGCACAGGAGCTGTTTTGCAAATAGTGTTCCAGAGTTTGACAATCCGGTTGTAAAAGGATGCCTGAAAAGCGTTTGTCTTACAACGTGGAGCTTTCATAACTAAAGGAATCTGGCTGTGTCTGGTGCGGCCATGGCGTATAAATGCAATATGTTTATTGACGTTCACGTCGATGTACCCATATAGGGCCTTGTAGAAAAAGGTTAGGTCTTTGATTTCTCTGTTGTAGGATAAAGGCAATAAGTAGAGCAACTGCAGTCTCTGGTGGTAAGACATTTCTTTGCCTTTGTAACCGAAAATCCATTTGGTAGCTCGCCTCTGTACTCTTTCAAGCTTGGCTTTGAGCATGTCCTGCGCCGGGGACCAAACTTGGGTAGCATAACATAACTGTGACTTGACAAGAGATAAGTATAATGTCCGTTTCACTTGAATATCAGTTAACACTGGGCTAGTTCTCTTAAGAAGACCTAATAAGTTGTTTGCCTTTGCAACAATTATACATATGTGATGATGCCAGGTATACAGTATAGCTGATGATGCCAGCTATACAATTAGTAATTAGTAATCTAGTATATAATTAGTATTATATCACACTTGCGTCGGTTTTCTTTGTTCGTCCGAGGTTTATAACTAGACCTAACTTATAGACCTTGAATAAATGATTAGATTAAACTTGTAGACAAAACGCGAGAATTTTTCATTAAAAATTTTTGAAAATGACAAAATATGTTGGAAAACCTCCGCAAGTGTGATATAAGTTAGTTATAAACCTCGAAAGTCGGTTTATAACTGATATATTGCCCCTCGGACGCTACGCGTCCTCGGGTCAATATATCAGTTATAAACCTCCTACTCGGTTTATAACTCTTACATATATAGGTAGTGTAATAGTTGTAAATTAATTTATATTTGTATTGTTAATTTAAGTAGTTTGCAAACGGCTCCTTGAAAAACAGGTGCCTGAAGGACTACCATTTTTAAATATTTTTAAATAATAAAATAATAATAATAATATAGTAACTCCAAGATCTTTCTCTTGCTCATCGCGGGTTAATATGGCAGAATCAAGTCAGTTTAAATCTTTAATTGCCTCCAAAATGAAGAGTAAATTATTTACAAAAGAATTTAAACTAGGTATTATAAAATTTACAAATTGATAAGATTAATGGTTAAATTATAATAGGCTAATAACTATCTAATCACAAACGGATCAAAGACCGAGTTTTGAACACAGTACGAAATGTACATCGCGCATTTTAACTTAAAGTCATCACTAAAACTGTCATTACTTCTACTTAAAACTGAGTAGTCCTCCAATAAGGTTCTGATAAAACTCTGATCATCCAAGGAATATAAATCCATGCATGTTCTAACTGGAAGATGATCTTGTATCCAAGACCACCAGCTTTCTCTAACTTCTTCTGTCTTTCTGCAATACAATAAAGCATGATGAACAGCATTATTATAAAGTCCCTGACATGCTGAACAAATTCCGTTTAACGTTCCAGGATTCCCACATCTGTCCTTATTTACAGTCAAGGAGCCACACTGAAGGCGAAGAATATCTGTTATCTGCTTTGATTGTCCGTACTTCCACAGATCATACCAGATGCTCAAAGATATACAAGGTTGACTCCAGAGATAGAATTCAAGTTCCTTTTTCCTTTCAATTTTATCCACCCATTCATAATGATCACTTTCATACACAGCTTTTTTGACAATTTTCTTCCAAATAATTTTTGCTGGGAATTCGTCATTTCTTAGAAATTCAGTAACATAACCGAGTAAATTTTCATCAACCAACAACCTCATAATATCAGGGATAAACCCTGACATTGTTGAATTGCTCTGCCTCCATTTCCATTTAATAAGTTTCCGGATAAACAACTTTCTATACGCCAATGAAGAGCTAGAGTTAATAATTCTGCCCAATAAATACAGTTTTCGTTTGCCAATTTCAGCCTTTAGGCTATGTAAACCCAGTAGACCCCTGGCAGCCGATCCTGAGGAACCCGGTATCAGACACTGAGTAACTCTACAAAACACGTTCAGGACCCTTTCCAGTTCTTTGATGTGTTGGTTTTTCAGGTACCACAGCTCGCAACCGTATAGTATATGTGGAAGAGCCACAGTTTCCCACAAATGGGCGGCTATTTTTGGATTCAATCCACCAGCTTTGCATCCGAGCTTTGATAACTTAGATATTACATCAAAACCTTTGTTCACTGTTGCACGGACAACTTCGGTAAAATTTTTGAGCATGCTTAATTTTTGAGCATGCTTGCTGCCTCGCCGTATGCGAGCGTATGCCAGGCCGTACGCGACCGTGCTTAAAACGTATATAACCTATGCCTAACGCACATCTAGCGTATGTCAGCGTATACCCGCGTATGAGTGATATTTTTCATACGCTGGCATACGCTAGTACGATACGCAATGGTGTAACAGGGCCTTTAGATTGGACCTCACATTCAACTGTATTCAATTATTCAAAAGTAGATTATTTCCGATTTGACTTATACTGGCATATTCGCATTTTCGCAAGTGCATGTTACATATCATGAAAAATCTGAGGTTTTTGTGCTTGTGCTTATTACTCGTGGAAGCGGAATGACATATCTCTTCTACATTATACTTAAATTTCAACATTATGTTTGCTGAATTTCGTCAAATATCGATATCGAAATTAAAGTTTATTAATCTGAAACATACTGATCGAACAAGTAAATGCAGTGTCTTAAATGTTCAATTTCTCCCACAAAGAAGCTTATTTTCCTATTTTATGCACAGCATACGATAGATACGTTCCTTCTATTAACTGTGGTTGCATGCATTGCTCATGTTACTGCTAATTTAAAGTAAAAAATACCTTAAAAGTAGCCAGAAAAGGGGTTGGGCCTACTCTGGGGCGGTAAATCGCCTTAAATCGCTGCGATATAATGCGATTTTGGGCGATTTTAGGCGATTTAAGGAAAAACTGGGATTTTCAAGCACTGCGATTTAATGCGATTTTAGGCGATTTAAGAGAAAATTCTAAATTTTAGGGATTGCAATTTAGACCTGTGTTTTCAAGGTAATTGAATTTTATATTTTGCTCCGGTTTCCTCCCACAAGGCAAAATATGGCAGGGTGGGTTAGAATAAACACAGTTAGAAAAGTGATATCATATTCTCATTGTTATAAAGATAAATAGTCTAGACTAACATAAGTAACCCTAATACTTGATGTAAGCGGTGACTGAAAAGCCCCAAAGGGGAGTGAGCTGAATAATGTAATGTTTTCACACACATATGCATTGTATGAAGCAAAATACAATTATTAGAACATGTATGTACATTTTATATAAAGCTAGGTTAATAATTATTGTATTTAACCCGAATCATATATAAAGCTCAATATTCGTGAACTTTTCATCGATTGTCTTATTTAGAAGCCATTGTAGTTCGTCTTGTGGGGTCATGTGGTCATTCATGGCTACGTTTTAATATATATTGTAAATATTGTAAATAGTTAATAAATATACTCTACTTAAGGGGCATGTACGGTACATAATTGCAAAATACCAACCTATAACTAAACTACAGATGTCTTAGGCTAAACTTTAATATTATTAATTCAAAATATAATAGATATTTGATTTCCAAAAGAACCACAGCCCACAGGGAGTAGAAACGCACAATATATTTATACAGTTACAATAAGCTATATTCCTATAAATTACCTTGTCACCCTTGTAAGTGAAATTGTCTTGTTTTGTATCTTGTCAACACTTCTTTATTTAGCTTGCATTTTATTTAAACTGTTTCAACAAACATGTTTTATAAAATTATGTTTGATATCTATATCCAGAAACAGTTTGAAACAGTATTGTCACGCATTCGGAAACTGTCGACGTAATGCCGTAAAGTTTAATTTACATGAAGTACATCGCATATAAATGGTCGGAATTCTAAATTATTTAAAAAAATACTAAACAAAATTATATTAAACAAATGGCACACCGCGCACTACATCGTGGTTTTAAGTCTTACCTGATAATATGTCAAGTGTTCTGCAAACAAGCAACAACAAAGACTGTATGGTATGTACGATGTAATCATTGTTTTACTGTTTATTTTATATACAGGTCTGGAAAATTTAATAGATGAGAGTTGCAAAACTTGCAAATCTCGCTCATATCAAACCCCACGTATGTTTTTCGTATGATAGCCAATATAATTATAACTAGGAGCTAGAGTATAACCATGCACAAGTCGAAGTACAACCATTGTATACAATGCAGTGCTCGATCTACATGCAACAGTGCACAAATTGCAGGATGACCTTATTCTATACTCGTACTCATTGACTCTCATTATCATAGTCTCCTACTGTTGTTCTAACAGCAGTTAGGCTTTGAGAAGCCATGTATATTATAGATTAATTTGTAGCCCAGCCACCATAGTCCATATAAATTGTAGCCCAGCCTCCACATTTTACACCAATAATGAAATTAACCAATAACTCAATTTTGTTGCTGGTAGTGTAATGGAATCTATGGGTCTTTCATATTCCAGAATTGCCTAATTATTGTAAAGTCTGTGTAAAGCAGAAAAAGGCTCTGTTTTTATTAACGACCGGAGCCTATTGAGTGACTAAATATTGTCAGCCTAATCCACTTATTTGATTTATCCATGTTGCATTACTTTTGATTGCAAAACACCTGGATTATACATGATTTGCCAGCAAAATAGCAGCAATTGATAAACTTGAGTACATTACTGACTGAATGTATCAAACAGAATGCATGTTGGCGAGTTAATGCGATTTTAAGCATGGGCGTACGGGAAGGAAAATATTAGGGGTTGGAAAGAAGTGATTGGGGGGGGGGAGAAGTGATTACAAAAAATTCCTATTAGATAGCATATTTCCCACATAATTGACAGAATTTCCCACAAAATTGACAGAATTTGTCCCATTTATTTCTATAATAAACCAATATTGCCCGACTGTGAAGCGAATAT